CCCCCCTTTTAAAAAAAAAGGGGTTGGCCCGGGGGGGTGAAAAAAAAAAACGGGAAGGGGCAACCCAGGAAAAACCCCCCCCCCCCCCCCCCCCCTCCCCCCCCGTGCGCGCGCCTCCTCTATCTCATCCCACTCCCATCCTCACGTTCAACGCGCGCAGCTTGAGCGTCACCAGGTCGTGCTGATGCTCGACCTCGTCCATGCGGATCGAGACAACTGCCTGCCCTGCTCTCCCCGTGTTCTTCACCAACGGCAGGGTCGATGTCTGCCCGCTCGTACCTAGGACTTCCGCCATCGTAGTCTCGGCAAACCCTGCACACACACACACACACATCTGTCTTTTTGATCCGGAGAGTAGCTTAGCCTCCCCAATGACATCTCCTCACGGGGTCCCAGACCATGGCCTTTGAAAGCATTCTCTGTTTTTTGAGCCGCGCTGAGACTGACGTCTTTCCATTGGTCAGCCGGAGCCGCGCGGTCGATACTAATAAGACAAACGCACACACCATTTCCCGTGTCCAGATGAGTTGAGGGCGACATATTTTTATTGGCCAGCCGGTTAGGTCCGTCGGTGCTAAGATGTAAAGACACACACACACGTTGCGCATTTTTCGAAGTTTGGACCCCTTCCAGGGGTCTTGGTTTCTACACGCTCGCACTGACGTCTGCTCATTCGCCAGCCGGCTAGCGCGTTCGATGCCAATAAAACCTACCGGTGTTTTCTATTAACCCTTGTGGCAAGCTACTGCTACACCACGGTAGCCGTGTCCTCTTTGTTTCTCACCCTGGAAATCTTGCTTCCCCAAGTCGAGATTGGTGGCGTCGTTCGTCTTGAAGGCGGTGTCGACGTCGTACACCTCTAGCCGCACTCTCTGAACCTCCTCGAAGAGATAAGTCAGCGAGAACTGCGCTGTGAAGTTTGGGTTCTGATCATTTGTTATGATTTCCGTTCGACCTGGCGTGGGGGTTTTACAGGGGGGGGGGAGGGGGGGGGGGGGGGGGGCCCCCCCAAATTATAAAACCGCCAGGGGGGGGGGGGTATTTCCAAAAATTTTCTGGAATAAAAAGGGAAAACCGCGTTTTGGGGGGGGGGGGGAAAAAACACCCGTGGGCCATCAAAAAACGCGAAGGGGGGAAAAGGGGGGGTTTTGGGGTTCAAGACCCCCCTCCCTGGGTTTACCCGGGGCGAGGGGGGGCACGCGGGGGGGGGACAAAGGGACTTTTCGCCGGGGAGTTTCCTGGGCCAATAAAAAACGGGGGCCCCCAAAAAAAAAGGGGGGGGGAAAAAAGCCCCTGTATACGACCCTTTTACCCCCGGGAAAAAGGGGTCCCAAAGAAAAGACATTTTTTTGGGGG